AATGATTGACACGCTGTGGCAGAGTCTTGTTCTCTTCTACATACCCTTGTTCACATATAAGGATAGCACCATTGATATATGGAGCATGGGCAGTTTGTGGACAATTGCCGTTGTTGTCCTTGTAAATGTACATTTGGCCATGGACATTAAGCATTGGGTGTTAATTACACATGTTGCTGTATGGGGATCAATAATCATCACATTTGGTTGCATGGTGGTATTGGATTCTTTCCCTGTCCTTCCCAACTACTGGTTAGTAACATTTACATCAGCCGTTGTGTATTCTGCGTTATTGTCTTTTGAGGTAATGCCAAATAGATGACTAATATTCCCTAAATCGTTGCAGGACTTTTTATCATGTGGCTAAGTCCCCTACATACTGGATCACAATTTTGCTTATAATTATTGTGGCAATGCTCCCTCGATTTGTCTGTAAAGTTGTTTATCAAGTATTTTGGCCGTCGGATATCCAGATAGCTAGAGAAGCTGAGATAATAACAAAACAGCGTGATCATCTGAGGCCAAGGCAGGAAGTTTCTAGTTAACTTGTGTTTGACTTCTAGAAACTAGTGAGATCTCGATTGGCATCCCTTGTATTTGACCATCACATTGCATTCTTGTGGCTGTTAGTTGTTAAAGGTCATCTGGTAAGGGCATAGTTTTTCTTTATTTATTTACGAGTCTCCTTTTGCAACTGATTTTTCCCATTTGGTTGCTTGAAATTGCTTTCCTTGGACTTACTTGTGGTCTAAAGATAAAAATATCTTCCTTAATTGTTATTTGAATGACTAAATGTCTAGAAAATATCAAAGAGTGATGTCAGAGGGATTTGGAAGGTCTATGACTATGACACGACTGCCTTTGCATTGGTGGTTTGAATGCTATTAATCATGGTGGAATTGGAGGTTGTGGTCCTGAATCAAATCAACTAATAGAAAGTCAAGAGGCATCGCTAAGTTCCATTGTTGCAGTTGAACTACATAATTGAAACATGAGGTTAATGTAGCTGTGTTAGGTATTCATTGTGTGCCTCCACTCATTTTATTTCTACTTAATGGGAATAAACTAAACCTCAGGAGAAAAATAAAAAGAAAACGTGGGGTGATGAAGATGGTTAAAGTGGAGTTGAGAATTAGGGTTTAGTACAACAGAAAGAGAAGAGGTGGATGTGTAGGGTTCAAATAAATAATTATGCGGGGAGAGAGCTTGCCTCTTTAGGGTACATCGCAGTTAAAAGTGAGTCTTATGACAAGTGATGACCATTGCATGCCAAAATTTAGTATGTTCTTCAATATTCTTTCATGGTCATGCTAGTGTGTGTTGTGTATTTGTATTTTGTGATTCGTTGATGCTGAAGTGGCATGAGTACGATCTGCACACACCAAATAGGTCAAGTCAATATTACTGCCCCCTTAACTTTGTTTATTGTTTTAAATTTGGTTGTTTTGTGGCAAATCGGTTCTTTAATTGGTATATTTATATCAAATTAGTAGTTTCGTTCTCCAACAAGTTGATTGTCAATGAATTATTTATCTTAAACTAGTAGTATCTTCTGGCAAAGCCAGAGTCCAGAGATATGTGATACAATATTGATACAAATTAGAAGTTAAAGAATCAACCTGACACAAAGCAAATTAAGGGGATCAAAATGAAACGTTGAGTCCATATTTTTATCGCTCTAACATATGTGGAGATCTGTCTGTGGTTGTGCCTGATTTGATCTCTTGTGGTTTTTTTTTTTTTTTTTTAATTATGGATCTCTTGTGGATTTTATTATCAGATGAGATGCAGTGGAAAAGCACATAGATGTGAGACGAATGGCCAAGCATCCAACATAGTAAACCAAGAGAGTGGTGTGGTGATGGATGGGGATCACAGGCAAGTCATCAAAGCTTAATGTTATGGTTGTTTTTAAATGCCAGGAAGGGGTTTTTGTTTGGGGGGGGGGGGAGGGATGGTTTCCTATATAGAAAAGGGCGAGGGCAAGGACAAGGACAGAGAATACGAGTCAGGGGTGGGGTCCCAAGGGGAGATTGGGAGACACGTTACTAAATTGTATATTAGTGGTGTAAAAAAATCAGGCACTTTCTTTGAAGAGCAAATTGTCTTTTTCCTTTTTCCTTTCTAAAAACAGGTTGAAATGAAAGAAAGAAGGTAATCTTTAGTTGTCTGACCTGGGTCTGATCGCATCTTGGATTTATCTCCACGCGGGATGTACCTTATCTTTCTCCCACGATGAAAGACAATCGGTCTTAGCATAACTGTTTGTATTTTAGAAGAAAAGCTGTCTTAGTTTAGCAATACTTTTCTTCATGTTCACAGTCCAGGCTTCTCTATATCTGGAAAAATGTACTGGGGGCGACCCAATACTCTTGAGATTTGAGCCTTAAACGACATTCTGGGTTTCAGTGCAAAACATATGACAAAATAATAGGAGGAAAATTGATATATCAACATGATTCTTTGTTTTTTATTTTATTAAGTTATTCATATTACTGAATATTACTTTGTTTAATATCTTACCTTGTGCGTGTGTGTGTGCGTTTTTTTTTTTTTTGCCCCCCGTTATTGTTCTCCAATTAAGGTGTAATTACTAATTAGTAAGATTTTTCTGGCTCGCTCATTACTTTATAGTACTTTAAATTGCTGCGGTACAAAGTCTCAAATCATTCTCTTTGATTCGTTATCAAAGTTGCTCATTGAAATTTCACAAAAAAAAAAAGAAGAAAAGGAGGGTGTTGAAATTTTTGTTTTATATATCGATTGTAAGGAATTGGATATTCGATTCTTGTATAATTATTTTTTTCATGCTACGCTCATACTGTTATTATTATGGGAGATTTTTTTTTTTAAATGAAAAGCGTGATGAGTATCCTTGGGTCCTGAAAAAGAGAGAGAAAATAACCAATGTGCTAATATTATAATTTTTAAATATAAGTTACATGCAAACCAAAAAGCAACAAATAATAATGAAAGAGTCTTTTTCATGTACGTGCACCTTCATTAAATTAGGTATTAACAACCACATCTTTTAAGATGCTTTGTGGGTAAAAACCATAGTGACTTTAGGACCTTTTAGAAGTAGCACCAGTGCACTGTGTTCACATGCTTGATTTCCTCATACTAAAATATTTTTTGTTGCTTTCACCGTGTGATGTGTACTACTGACTTTTGGAAAATCAACAATGGCAACTCATCTTTATAGCTGCCCAAAAACAAAAAAAACTCGGCCCTATAGATTTTCCTGGTTTTAATAAAATTGTATTATTAGTTTAAAACATAAATATGATCTTCTAAAAAAACATAAATATGATAATTATTTTTATTTTATTTTATATACTTGAGGCTTTTATCAGGGAGATGTTTCTATTGTTCCCCTTCAATTTTCTGTGTGAGTTGAGAACTATAACTTTGATACTTTCGTAACTAGATGGGAGATTAAATTTTGCAACAAATAAAAGTTAAGTCTCAGTATGGAACATTTTTACTAATAATGTAATAAAATTATTTATTTTTAATTCACAACATCTCCATTGCCAAGCTGATTTCAAAGGCTATATTTATTTTTATCAATTGATTCCGTTCATGTTTGACTGGTTCAATACGAAATATTGATATGTTTTCATTTAAATCAATTTAAAGAAATTAAAAATCCCAAATTAATTTTTTATTTTGTTTTGAATTCGTGGTTCTAGAATCTTTTAACTATCAGAGGCTGCTAAGAAAATAATGATTGTTGCATACTATGTTTACACTTGTTATCTTTGTAAGCATATAGGACGACAATTTTTGGTTTCTGGAAACATAGACAGTGTCTATAATTAGAAGTTCACACGCACATTTTGTTGGTGAAATTTGAAGTACATATATTGATAATAAAATATGAAATCAATTTTGACTCGATTGATACTTGATAGTAACAAAAAGAATGAAGTAATTAAGAACTTTATATTATAATTATTTTAAATATTAAAAAAATAAAATATTTTTTCACTATACATTTAAAAATAAATTAAATTAAATTAAAAACCAAAGTATTTAAATTGAATGAAAATATTTGAAATTTCAATTATTTAATCAAATAAATGAAATTCCTGGCAAACTTTTTTATTTTCTTGGATGCTTATTCAGACTAAGCTTTTTTATAATAAATATTAAATTTATACATCAATAAATATTAGTCTAGTTGATAAAAATTTAGTTTATATTTCACAAGATCGTGAGATCTAATTTTTTGGTTAATGTCAAAACTTTATTGATAAGTGATTTTTAAGTGGTCTAAATTCATTTTTTCAATGAATATCTCACATGACATAATAACAACTGTCAATTAAATCATATGATTATTAGATATTTTGTTATATAATATTTAAAAAAAGCATCAAATTTTAAATTTTTAAAGAGAATGCATGTGTTTAAATTTCTGAAAAAAATATTTTAATAATTTTTAAATATTAATAAAATATAATAATTATAATTAAACTCTCGTTAAATAAGTAGCTTTAATGAGTAATTTTTGAGTCTAAAGACATAGCCAAACTCTAGTGATCTCTGGATTTTAACGAGCCATCTGGGCCGAGTTCACCTTGATTGATTTTTTTATAATAAAAAAAATGTTAAATTTATACTTTTTTGTTTTTTAAAAAATGGTGTACCTTGATGTCTGACCAATCCAGCTGTGCCACGTTCCAGTCTGCCATTAGCTATGAGTCATCGATGACATAATCCTAGTGACGTCATTCGACTTCGTACCACCCAAAAACATACCTCCTTCCCAAGCAAGAAAGCCCACGACCCAGGCTCTGGACAATCGCAACCGTTAGTACATTTCACGAGCATGAATGCGCGTGGAACACTAAGAATTAATCTATTGTGGAATTTTCTCACAGGCTTCCTTCATGCTTCCACGCATATGCCCAATTAATTTAAATTTCAAAAATAAAAAAAAAATAATATGAAGAACCAAAATTGGGAAGGCCTGGTCGCCAAATGGCCATCTCTTATTTATTATCGTTCACGTTCTGGTCATCTTCTTCAAAACCCTCCTTCCTCTCTGTCTCTCTCACTTATTACTACTTACACTCACAACACGACACAGCACAACACAGTCCGGTTAATACTGTGATCTTCTTCACTACACTGAGAGATTTGTATTTGATTGGCTGTGTTATGGAGAATCTGGCAATGAAGGAGCTAGAGAGAGGGCGCGAGTTTGCGAACCAGCTTCGACGATTGATGTTTAGGTCTGAGGAAGAAGCTGATGAGGGTTTAACGACGTCGTCTGCTGAGGATCTTGTGGCCAAAGTGGTGGATTCTTTCACCAACACACTCTCTCTCTTCACCAACAACAATAGCAGTCACCTCTCTCTTCTTCATCATCAAGTTTCTGCAGATTCGTCGTCGTCGTGTTGTCACTTTCCTGATCACTCAGATGAATCTCACGACCAGAGCTTTAAGAGCAGAAGCCCCACAACCACCATTAAAGATCCCAAAAGAAGCTCTCCCAAGAAAAGGTATACATGATGCAACTTTATCATCACTTTAATCACAAGTCTTGAATTCGATTTTCAAAAAATGTAACCATGTTAATGATAGAGTAGTTTCCGACTTTCCGTTCAAAAGAATCTCGTCCGACACTTATTAAATTCCCTTAACTTGATGTGGGGCTGGCCGGACTGCGGATGCTTTGGCCCAAAAAAAAAAAAATTTCAAGTTAAGATTCGTTTGTATATATTTAGGTGAAATTATGGGTTTATGTGAATAGTATACATATATGTAGTCAGTATTGGGATAAGTTCTATATATTGCTGGTGTATTTATTTAATTGATTGGATTAGTTATTATTCAAGTTGGTAAAAATAACTAATTAGTGAATAATGAATTTGAAATGAATTGGCAGGAAAAGTACGCATACATGGGAGGAGGATTCCAAAATGAGTCCAAAGGAAGATGGGCATGCATGGAGAAAATATGGCCAAAAAATCATCCTCAATGCTAAATACCCCAGGTTTCCATCTTTACCCTTTCACTTTCTTTTTATTACTACTCTCTCTTTAATATTACAAGTCATGTTTTTTCTCAAAAAGTATCATGTCCAAAATATAAGATAGTATTTAATATGTAATTGATATTTTTTTTCTTCAAAAATACCCTTAATTAGGTAGTGGAATATAAAGTTTACACTCTACTAAATAAAAATGCATATGAAAAATACTGAACAGGGGAGCATAATTTAAATTTCATATAATTTATTTGAATCCTATGCTATTAAACCATTTACTACATATTTTCTTTCTCTTTTATCACTGAAATTGCTACATATTTCTCAAGAAAACTAAATTATATTTGTATATAAATGCAGGAACTATTTCAGATGCACTCACAAGTATGATCAAGGATGCCAAGCAACAAAACAAGTTCAGAGAATCCAAGACGATCCTCCTCTGTACAAGACAACCTATTTTGGCCACCACACTTGCACCAACCTCCTCAATCCTCAGATCATTATTGATTCTCCCGACCTTAATTCCACCTCTTCTTGTATCCTCAGCTTCGATAATAATAATAATAATAATAATAATATTACCACCTTTGACCAAAAAGTCAAACCATCCTTCTTAACCCAGCAAAGCCATCTCTTTCTCTCTTCTTCGTCCTCTTTATTTCCATCTGGTGATCCTGTGAAGCAAGAGAAGATTAATGATAATACTGGTCTTCGTCCTTCATGTTCATCCAATGATTGCCAGCTTGTGTATCCTGATTATGATGATGAAGTTCAGCTTCCTTTTGATTCTGAATATAATTATCAAGTGGACGTGTTTACTTCTGCTGGGTTTCGTGATCTTCTTGAATTTGATGATTATGACTCCATTGATGCACATTTGATCCCTAGTTATTTTGAATCTTGTCTTCAACTAGATAAGAGGTAGCTACCAAGTTTTGTAAGCTTAGCTTCATGTACTAGAAAACATCTACATCTTCCATTTGCTTCATTATCAGCGAAGTATAAGTTTCTATTTTTCTGGAAATTTTTACGATAAATCTTAAATGTGCACTTTATTACACCGTTGGTTACTTTTGGGCTATCTGATTCTGAATCAATCAATCACTCCCCCCCCCCCCCAACTCTCTGTCTGCTAACTGTTATTGAGGAAGAGTAACAGTTTTCTCGCAAGTTGTGAATATATCAATTCGAAATATACTTGTCACAAATTTCAATTATAAATAAGATATTTAAATTTTAAATATATATATATATATATTTTAATTTATAATTATATAAATTAATATTTATAATTTATTTTTTTTAAAAAAAATTGTTATGACCTAACTAGCATTATAAATTTTCTCTTTGACTATCATTTTTCATTCACTGACATATTAATTTCACTGTTTGATAAAGTATGCTCCCTCCATCCCAATATATAAGAGGTTTTTTAAAATTTTTTTATCCTTAAATATAAAAGGTTGTTAACATATTTTTTATGAATGGTCTATTATACCCTTATTAAATTAGAAGAAGAAAAAGACAAGTACTTTTATTAATTTACTTTAAAAAAATTATTTTTTTATTTACAATAATCAGGACAAAATTAAAATGTTACTGTGCTTTTAATTATATAACTAATTTTTAATTTATGTAATTTAATTAAAAATATCTTATATCCATGGAGGGAGTATGTATTCTTCAGGAAGTTTAGACGGAGACACTACAAGAAAATTTAAGACTGGTTCAGATAATTAATAAAATTGGGATGAGATATATATCAGTTAATATCAGAAGTCTAATAAAATTTCCGTCGCTAAATGTGATCGATTTATTTATTTTTCTTTTCTTTTTGTCAGAAAATCAACGCCGGTCGTTTAGCGACAGATTTTTGGTGGCAATATATATATATATATATATATATATATAGTACATCAACCTCACATCCTTCATCTTTTTTTTTTTTTTGATGAGTCACATCCTTCATCTTCTAATGCCATGGGATAGACAACTAGGTAGAAAATTTCAAACCTGTTTTATTAATTATTTTTGGGAATAATATAATTTTTATTCCCATTTTTTAATCATCAATTTAGTCTTCAAACTTAACTCAATACAACCTAGCACTTGTTAATCCGTAAAATTTATTAAGTTCATAAATTATAGAGACTAAATTGTGTTGAGTCAAAAAACATAAGGCCAAGTTGATTTGAATCATGAAACTATAAAAACTTGAGTTATTATGTATTAGAGTTTAAACTAAATTGAAAATTGAGAAAAACTTGAGGAATCAGAAGTTATATTTTTTTCATTTTTTAAAAAATCATCTTTATAATAGTAACTTAGAGATAACATCATCTTTTTTTCTTACAAACTATAAATAATAATATCTCAATGAATGGAATTATTCTAACAACTACCTTTGGAGTATTGGGGGGGCAATCTAATGACGGTTAAGGTGTTGAATTATTGTTTGGTGGTTGCTGCACCTCAAATCCTCGATTTTCTTTTAAATTAAAAGATATGGAATTTGAATGCTAGTGAAAAAACACATTAAATATAAACTAAATTTAATAGAGTAGTGTCTAAATAAAAGTTATAAATTTAATGTATTAATATTAATTAAGTGTAAATAAATTCATCTTTGCAATATTATAATTGCAAGTCCAATCATGTGACAATGATGGTAACAAATTGATTATGCTTATTATACAATTATTTGATATGTATACCATTGAGTCAGATTCAAGTATTATTTGGACTAATTAGAAGTAGAAGTAACTCTTTTAAGATAGTTTTTATTCTAAAGACGTGAAATATTGCTCTAACTATGGGTTATATGTGTAAAATCCTGAAAATTACCTTTAATTAATTAAGCTAAATGAGGATAATTGAGTAAATTAAATTGATATATGAATAGAGGATAGTTAGAGAGGACTAGTGGGCTTAGCTAATGGGTTGTGGTTGCAGCTTGAGGATTGGGTCTAGAGTGAGGTTGTGCCATCTAAACTTTGAAAGTGGAGGAAAAGCCCAAGTCATATTGCTGCACCACATGCTGCGGCATACACTACCTGCGCCATGATGCATGGTATGAAACGAGAGCTCCCCACTTTATACCATTCACCATAGCAGGTGTGGTATGCGTCGTAGTACATGGTCAAAGATTTACGATAGTAAGAGCCTCGTTAACTCAAAAAATAGAGAGAAGGAAGGAGTTTGAGAGAGGAATTGAAGGATGATGGGAACCAAGCTCATCTACTAGGGCATATCATTTTTGAAAGGTTTAGGGTGATTAGAGCTTGTCTACATCTACGTAAGTCTTCATCTACTTCTTTTCTTCCTCTCTATGTAGATTTTAATCTAGGATTTGTTTTGGGAGAATAATTTTTTGGAGCTTGGGAGACATGGGTTCGAATCCATTGACTTAAATAGAGTTAATGAGAGTTGTTTGAGTTATTTAAACTTAGTATTTATGGTTTTGTATGTTTTGGTAGTTGGATGGTCATTAATACCCAAAAATTTGCACTTAATGGGGTTGTTGGAGGTGTTAGATAGCCATTAATAATGGCTTGGTAGATTATTGGAACCAATACGAGCTAAAGGAAGCCAATAAACTCTATGGGTATGCCTATATGTGAGATATTAGAGTTTGGAGGAATTTGGAAGTGTTGAGTTAGATATTGCGAATGATCCTAATAAGGATATTAATGATTGTTGATATGGTTAAATTATAGATTAATCATTTTTGTCATCATTCAAGCTAAGTAAAGCTTTAGAAGTATTCATTATTGAGGGATATACATTTGACCTCTCAAATGTTTGAGGCAATTGGAGAAAATTTAGTTAGTGCATTTTCTTGTTTAATTGATTCTATGTGTTTATGAATTTGTTTGAAAAATCATGATAATTGTGATTTTGTTTTCGATGCAAGAGTGGCGACTTGAGAAAAATCCTATGTAATATGTGTGTAATGAAAATGAAAATGAAATGAATGTTGTGTGGTGATTGTGAAGAAATGCATGGATATGTGAATGTGGGGAAGAAGTGTAGAGTGTTGATAGTGAGTTTCCAAATGAGAAGTACGAACTACACCAATGTCTAGATTGATGATTCAAAAAGGGTATATGTGTGGTTGTTGAATGATGTGAGATGCCTTGTGAAGTATTGAGAAATTGCATGCCATGAATATGTTGTTTAAAATCCACATGTAAGGGCATGTTTGAAAATGTGCATGCTATGTGTTTAAGCATGGGATTCATTTGCATGATCTTATGAAGCAGGGTAGAGGAGTAGAGTTATTAAATCCATGTGGTACCACCATTCGGAGCTCTATGACTTGCCTTTATGTTTTATATCATCTTACTTGTTCTACCAGGGATTTTTCTATTTATTTAATGTAGGACTTGAATCCAACTAACCTCCACTTGTTCAATGAGGAGGCTAGCTTAGGATTACGAGACCCCATAGTGTGAGATTTGAGAGGAAATTGTGATTAACAAGTGAGTGTAGCAGCCTTGGCCAGGCAGCTTATCACAAGTGAAAGGCTTGGATAGTTTGATCACATAGACAAATCTTACTAAATAGCTAATGGTTTCATGTTAGGGGTATTAAAAGGGTTAAGGATGGAATTGATTATGCATATCACTATATGGCTATATAGTTATTATTATTATGGTCTTGTATAATATTGATAGAAGCACATGGTTGTTAGTATTATACTTCATTGTGCAAAAATAAAATCATGTAAATGTGAATATTGACTTGTGATTGTGCCTGGCCGCATAGTTGTTAGTTTTTGCAGTTAGAAATAACATGTGAAAACATGGTTTTGTCACTTGCATCATTATAATTGATTGACATATATTTGTATAGGTTAGATTAACTTTGGTTACTTAGTGGTTATACTTACATCTCTTTTTTCAATATTTGTTAGAGCTAGCTTGAGTCAGGATTGAGGAAAAGTACTAGTGGCTTATGATTTGTTAAATCCTAATAGTAGGCATCTCATGGATTTAATTATGTACATTTTGACTTGATAATTTGCCAACTAAGAAACCATAGTATTGACTTACTTGCAATATTAGTTAATTTGATTTAATTATGTATTTTGAGCCTTAGATTGTATATAACATGTTGCAAAGTCTAAATAAAATTGAAATATTAGTGCAAGTAAGAAAATGTGTAAATGCATGGATGTGATGGCTTATAAGTTGGTATATGAGAATTTGTCTCTCCCTTCTGCCTTTGTAATCAAGGGGTTAAGAGTTAAAATTGTGTTATTTCTATTATTAGAATGCGGTGGTGTGTTGCACAGGTCATTTCTAATTTATTGAGTGTAATTTAGGGGTATTTATGAGCTTATGGGACTTAGTAGAGGATGTGAACACCTTAGTGGAGTTTTAAAAGTAAAAAAAAAAAAAGTAAGTTTGCAAATGGGTGTCTAACTTTTGAATGAGAAATGATTTATGAGTAAAACTAGTGTTATTAACTAAATTTTTGAAAGAGCTTTCTATAGACATTTAAATTTCTTTAATTGGATATCAAATGAGGAAATGGGCAACATCAAAAGTTTTTTTGACTTTTAATGCAAATGCTTTATAACAAATTGGTATCTAATGTTTCTGTAAACATATTTTTACTTCGATTTTGATTTATGAAAAGTATATTATAGTATTTTAATAGTTTAAAAACTTGAGACCTTAGTTGTATGATTTTACAACTTGAAGGCTAATGACTTTTCAAATAATTTGGTAATTCTTTCTGGTTAGCCCATGGTTAGTTAGTTTATGGAGTTTAAGAGTGTATTACCCTAACTTGGAAAGAAACATATATAATCATGTCCGAAAAGAATACCCTAACTTCCTCCTTCCTCTTCATCTGTACCATATTGAAGGACCATCTACTACTCCTCCCTCTCTCGCAAGCTAATGCCGTCTAGAATCCTAGCCAACTAGCTCACGTTGCCATCGCCGTCAATCTCTTCAAGGCTCACCGAATGGCCTCTTACATCTCCAATGTCACTTGTGAAGCTGATTACAACACCAACTTACACACCGCCTCTTCCGTCCATGATGCT